TCAGAGAGAAGAGAGGGAAAGAGAGGAATATCAATGATGAGAAACATCAATTGGCTGCCTCCTACATGCCCCCTACTGAGGAATAAACCTGCAACCAGGGCATGTGCCCTAACCTGGAGTTGAACCCTAACCTCCTAGTTCATGTGTCAATGGTCAACCACTGAGCCACACTGGCTGAGCAATAGAGCAATTATTTCTATTGATTCACATAGTTTCTTTTCTTCTAATTTTTCAAAATTATAGCTTAGCATCACTGCAGTTTTAAATAATCTCATTCATGAAATGATATCTTAAGTGAGACTTTCCAATTGCCCTTATTTTCCAGATATTTGTGAGATACAAGTATAATTTATTTACAGATGATCAGAGAACTCTGGAAATACTATCAAATGTTAAAAATTGATCCTGAATTATAATTTTTATAAGAGGTTAGTTAAGAGTGTGCTATACTCACAAAGCACTTAATTCTTTAAGCCACTTAACATCTGAAAGCCTCATTAATGAATCATGAATAAAGGTAAAAACCTTTAACCCTGAATGCTAAGGACATTGGTCAGGCCATATACATCATAAAAAGAGATGCAAACTAACAAGATTACAGTTAAAATAATAAAAAGAAAATCCATTATTAGAAAATCTTATCTCATATAATAAAAGGATAATATGCAAATAGACCGAATGGCAGAACAACCAATCAAAGTGTAATATGCTAATGATATGCTAAGGCTGCTCAACTGCTTGCTATGACGTGCATTGACCACCAGAGGGCAGATAGTCAGCTGGTTAACCAGTTGCTATGACATGCACTGACCACCAGGCGGCAGATGCTCCAACCGGTAAGTTAGCTTGCTGCTGGGGTCCTGCCGATTGGGACTGAGCAAGATGGACCGGACATGCCTTGGAGCCCTCTCACAGTCCCTCCCTGGCCTGATCGTGCATTGGTGAGGTCCCTCAGCCTGGCCTATGCCCTCTTGCAACCCAGGACCCCTCGGGGGATGTCAGAGAGCCGGTTTCAGCCCATTCTGCAGGCCACTCCCCTTGGAAGGGCGTCAGACGCAAGGCTCATAGCTGGGGAGTGCTGCTGGGACAGTGTGAGCCTCTCCTGATTGGGACTGATTAGGTGCGAGCAGGATGAGCAGAAGCAGCAGATAGGAGCTGCAGGCAGCATTGGACTGTGGGTTTTGGCCCTATCCCTGCAGGCCACCCAGAGGGACCCCACCCATGCACGAATTCATGCACCAGGCTTCTAATATACAATATAAAAATATTCATCATGATCACCAACATATTTAGGTTTTATTTCTCACTTTATATTAGTAAAATATTAACTGTGGTTTACTGGAGGACCATAGTAAAATCATAAAAATTAGATACTCAGTTGAAAGAAATTTCCAATTTTTCAAACATCAACAAAATAATTTCTATCCATAATTCAGACAAATATAAGATGGGTAGATATGATTTTAAGAAGATGTCATTTTCTTCCCTGCTACTACCCATGATATAAGCAGAGCAAGTTATCATAATTTACTACAAGTGCACTGTAATATCTTTAAACCAGTCTTAGACCAAGTTTCATTAAGAGCTATTTCATTTCATGTGCCTTATATTTATATCACAAATGCATTGTGCTAAGCCTGGATGTTTCCTCGTGGTGCATAACACATGATAAGACACATAAAATGCAAAATAAATATTTGTTGACTGACCAATTTTGTTTTACAACTTGATCATTTAGACTTCTGAAATAGTATGTTGTTTTCTTGATTCCTAGTGCATTAGCGTGCAATCAATCAATTCTAATTCTTAAGTTTATTATTTTAAAAAGATACAGATTTCAGCCACAAGTGGCACAGGTACTAGAATTTGAAAGGCAGTTTTTTGTTTGTTTTTTAAATAGAATGTGTTATGTCTCTTTGTAAGTCATTAAAATATTTTGGAGAATAATATTAGTTGAAATCTTGAATTCCACTTTGTTAAATTTAAAGAAAACTAGGTGGTAACAACACTTTATAAAATAGGCTATTTGCTAAGCAAATAGGTCAGTAAAATAAAGCCAAAAACAAACAGCAACAAGAACAAAAGGCATGTCTTAGTTACAAATAATTCCAAATAGCCGACTTAAGCTTCCAGGCCCTGATTGTACAAGGTAACTTATTGAGAAGTGGAAAACAGAAAAATGCAGGAAAGGCTCAACATGGTGGATTTTATCATTAATTGAAATTTGGTCCAAAAAAGCACAAGCACACATCGATATTGTATAAATTATTCTGAGAAGCACAGGTAGCTTGGGGGATTGGAAAGAAGAACTAACATGAGCACTAAGGATTCATTTTTTTATGTAGAGAAGGAGAAATCTTTGATGTCAACATTTGTATTAAATATATGCACACATTTAAAAATTAATATATCTATTTGTTAGATGCAAGTAATTCTCACTACAGACTGAGAATTAACCTGCAAAATGGGCTCATACCAGGAAAAAAAAAATACTACAATCAGAGCAATGATTCCAGACTTAACTACAAATGGCTCACATTTCTTTTTAATTATATGTAAAGTTCATCCAACATGTCTGCAGTGCCTGTTAAACCTACAGAGAGCAGTGACCTGGGATGGCAGTGTTGGAGTGAAGCTCCTGCGACCCAGCCTCAATTCATAGAATGTTGGTGGTTATTTATTCAACTCCTGTACTCTCTGCAGCTGGGAAAACTGAATCCTCACACCCGGGAAGCAGCTTTCTCGAGGCCACAGCAGATGTGTGGCTCCAAGTCTCATGAGGGTGGCCACGGTGTCTAACTTGCTCATATTTTATTATCACCTCATAAATAGTACAGTGCTTGATATATGGTGGGTGTTTTAGAAATATTTTGGGTGGATCAATGAATGAAAAAATGAATACATGAATGAATGAATACATAAATAAATGAATGAATGAGACATAGGCAGAACCAGGGTAGCCTATGTTTTCAGGAATAAATGTTTGTCAGCATCTGGGTAATTAGGATGATAATTTGATTTGTGATCACAAGTCCCTCAAAAATGTTCTTGTTTGGGCCATTATTCATTGAAGAGGCAATGCCAGGTGCCTATAGAGACTGATACCCCTTGGGGCATTTTGAGGTAATTTTAATTCTCTTTAATTTTTTAATGTATCTGTGGTATTGCTTATCAGCAGAGAGACAGCAGTTTAAAGAGACCTTGTCAACTCCACCCTGGGACACACAACTTACTGAACTGCACTACACATAACATTACTCACATCTGCATATGCCTTCAGGCCATGGTGATGGGCAAAGACACTTGTTTCTACCCCACCCCCAGCTACTTGAACACTCAGTAACAGGTACTTAGAGTAACAGTAGTACTCCTAAAGGCAGTTTTCAGAAATGAAGAGGAGCAGGAGAGTGATACAAGTGAGAGCGTGGAAGCTGTGAGCATTTAAACTGCTTGATGCAAGAAGAAAATCTGTTAAATTTGTTATAATTGGAACAGCAAATGTAGGTCTCAAAGGAATATACAGGCAATTGAAAAATACCTTCTTCAAGTGCTGGGAGGAAGTCAACAGCAGGTGTTGGTGTGTAAGCAAGTCAAATTTAGGTGAAAGAAGAGGAGACATGTTTCATTATAGAATCTTGGAAGCCATTCCCTGCAGATTTAAGTGGGTAATTGAGAGTGACATTTAAAGTGACAGGAGGCAGTCTGGGAAATAGCTTCTGCATTCCACATAGTCAGGTTCAAGTGCAAGAGAGGTCTTTGTAAACAGAGTTCATGGCAGTCCTTTGTGATAGAAGAGGAGTCACTAAGACTGTTTAGGAACCCAGGTAAACTTCCAGCCCCCCTCTTCATCTCGACGAACAAAGGCTTGTCCCTGGTGGAAGGAATGAGTTTTCACATTACAGTGAGGGCTCAGGGATGTGGAAAAGGCCATCTCAGTCTTATTGGGTGACACATCAGAAGTATAGTAAGGATGAGTTTGCAGCCCTCCTGGGGGATTTGAAAGTTGAGAAAGGAAGTGAAAATCCTCCCCAGGGCTGGCAGTGCTGCAGGAAGGAGTGGTGCTTTCACCTCCATAGTCAATTTGCAGATCCTCCGTGGGGGCCTTTTCATAATCAACTGCATCCTCCAGAAACTGGGGAAATGTGCTGGTGATTCTTCTGGGATGAGAGGAGAGGGCACTGTAGTTAGCTGATAAGGTATCATCAATGGTGTTGAGATCTTTTAACCCAAGTGTTTGAAGGACCCAGGGGTCCACAGGGGGCCCAGGTTGTTCTTCACAGTTAGCAAATTCACTAGAGAGGTTTCTCTTGACATTTTTGCGATGGGGGATCTCAGGAGGAAAATATCTTTGCTCTTTGGGTTTCCTCTTCCCCTTTCTGAATTTTCCATATGCTTTGGAGAAATCATCTGATGATAGCAATTTCTGGGGAAATAACATTTGATTACACAGTCAGGTAATCAAGCAATATCATTTTCTTTACTGTTGTGGAATTACACCTACTTCAAACAGTAACTAGCCTCCTTAAGTCCTTAGAAAACTTGATTAAACTTCTATTTTCACACACACACATGCACAAGTAAAACTGATTGCATTAGCTTCTGTTTCTAAGTTTAAATCTATGATGAGAATTTACCACCTAGAAATTCCAATTTATACTTTTTACTAGTCATTTAAAAGTTGAAAGGAGTAAATTATGTCTTTAAATTTTTTATCAAGGGAAGTAATTATTATTATAATGGAAAATAATAGCAACTATCATGTAATCGACATTGGTTACATGCATGATCTCATTTTATTTAAGTACTGTTAAAATTTCCTTTAATAAAGAAACTAAGGCACAGGCATAGTAATGGCTTGTTAAAATCACTAAGCCTAGATTTACATCTAAACCATCTGAATCTAGACAGAACTAGGGGAGGGGAGTTGGAGGACTTGGTGAACAAGGTGAAGAGGTTGAGCAAAAGTAAATAAACAATGCATAGACACACAAAATAATAAAACATGTTTTTTGGTTTTAAGTTAGTATGATATACCAATGATGTATCTTTTCACAATCAAATAATTGTGAAGTAATACATAATTTTAAATGTTTGTATTTTTACCTAACGAATAATTAAAATTAGTTTATTCAACATAGCACTGGAAGTCCTACCCACAGCAATCAGACTAGAAAAAGACATAGGAATCCAAATTGGGAAGGAGGAAGTAAAATTGTCATTATTTGGAGATGACATGATATTGTACATAGAAAACCCTAAAGACTCTACACCAAACAAACAAACAAAACCTACTAGATTAATAAATGAATTTGGCAAAGTAGCAGGATACAAAATTAACAACCAAAAATTGATGGCATTTTTATATACCAACTAGAGGCCTGGTGCACAAACATTTGTGCACTCGGGGGAGAGAGGGGGTCCCTCACCTGCCAGGATTGGGCCAAAACGGGCTCTCCAACATCCCCCAAGGGGCCCCAGATTGCAAGAGGGCATAGGTCAGGCCGAGGGACCCCACCAGATGCATGATTGGGGCCCAGGAGGGATCATGGGAGGTCTCCAGAGCATGTCCAGCCCCTCTTGCCCAGTCCCGATGGGCAGGAACCCAGCAGCCAGCTAACCTACTGGTCAGAGTGTCTGCCCTCTGGTGGTCAGTACATGTCATAGTGGGCATCATAGTGACTAGTCGAACAGTTGAATGGTCTGACACTTAGCATATTAGGCTTTTATTATATAGGGTAATGAACTCTCAGAAAGAGAAATTAGAAACACAATCCCATTTATCATTGCAACAATAAAAAATAAGATACCTAGGAATAAACTTAACCAAGGAGGTAGTAGACCTGTACACAGAAAACTTTAGGACATTGAAAAAAGAAATAGAGGAAGATATAGTAAGTGAAAGCATATACTATGTTCATGGGTTGGAAGAACTATCAAAATGTCCATACTACCCAAAGCAATCTATAGATTCACTGTAATCCCTATCAAAACACCAATGGCATATTTCTCTTTTATTAGATAGGACTAGAGGCCTGGTGCATGGATTCATGCACTGGTGGGGTCCCTCGGACTGGCCTGCCAGGATTGGGCCAAAACGGGCTCTCCAACATCCCCCAAGTGGTCCCAGATTGCAAGAGGGCATAGGTCAGGCCGAGGAACCCCACCAGATGTGCGATTGGGGCCCAGGAGGGACCATGGGAGGTCTCCAGAGCATGTCCAGCCCGTCTTGCCCAGTCTCGATCAGCAGGAACCCAGCAGCAAGCTAACCTACTGGTCAGAATGTCTGCCCTCTGGTGGACAGTACATGTCACAGTGGGCATCATAGTGACTAGTCGAACAGTTGAATGGTCTGACACTTAGCATATTAGGCTTTTATTATATAGGGTAATGAACTCTCAGAAAGAGAAATGAGAAACAGAATCCCATTTATCATTGCAACAATAAAAAATAAGATACCTAGGAATAAACTTAACCAAGGAGGTAGTAGACCTGTACACAGAAAACTTTAGGACATTGAAAAAAGAAATAGAGGAAGATATAGTAAGTGAAAGCATATACTATGTTCATGGGTTGGAAGAACTATCAAAATGTCCATACTACCCAAAGCAATCTATAGATTCACTGTAATCCCTATCAAAACACCAATGGCATATTTCACAGATCTAGAACAAATATTCCAAAAGAATTTATGGAGCCCAAAAGGACCCCAAGTAACCACAGCAATCTTGAGAAAGAAGAACAAAGTTGGAGGGATCACAATACCATATATCAAGTTATACTACAAAGCCACTGTAATCAAAACAGCCTGGTACTGGCACAAGAAGAGGCATATAGATCAATGGAACAGAACAGAGAACCCAGAAATAGACCCAAGCCATTATGCTCAATTAATATTTGACAAAGGAGGCAAGAGCATACAATGAAGTAAAGATGGTCACATCAATAAATGGTGTTGAGAAAATTAGACAGGTATATGCAAAAATATTGGATCACCATCTTACACCATACATAAGAATAAACTCAAAGTGGAAAAAATATATATGTAAGTCACAAAACCATAAAGATCCTAGAAGAAAATATGCCAGTAAAATCTCAGACATTTCTGGAAAATTAGACAGTATATGCAAAAATATTGGATCACCAATTTGCACAATACATAAGAATAAACTCAAGTGGATAAAATATATATGTAAATCACAAAACCATAAAGATTCTAGAAGAAAATATGCCAGTAAAATCTCAGACATTTCTCATAATAATATTTTTTGCTAATATATCTCCAAAGGCAAGGGAAACAAAGGAAAAAAATAAACAAATGGACTACATCAAACTAAAAAGCTCTGCACAGCAAAAGAAACCATTAACAAAATTAAAAGGGAGCCTACTGTATGGGAGAACTTATTTACCAATGATATATCTGATAAAGGGTTAATATCTAAAATACATAAGGAACTCATACAACTTAACAAAAGGAAGATGAATAATCCAATTAAAAATGGGCAAAGGACCTAAAGAGACATAAAGATTGCCAAGAGACATATGAAAAAATGCTCAAAGTGACTAATCATCAGAGAGACGTAAATTAAAACTACAATGAGTATCACCTCATGCCTGTCAGATTGGTTATTATCAATAAATCAACAAACAGCTAGTGCAGGTGAGGATGTGGACTGTTGCACTGTTGGTTGGAATGCAGACTGGTGCAGCCACAGTGGAAAACAGTATGGAGTTTCCTCAAAAAATTAAAAATGGAACTGCCTTTGTACTCAGTGATTCTAGTTTTGAGAATATATCCTAAGAATCCTGAATCATTAATTCAAAAGTATATACTAGTATGTAGCCCTATGATCATTGCAGGAGATGAGTGGATTAAAAAGATGTGGGCCCTGGCTGGGTTGCTCAGGTGATTGGAGCATCATCCAGTACACCAAAAAGATTGTTGGTTAGACTTCTGGTCAGGCACATACCTACGTTGTGGGTTAGATCGCTGGTCAGGGTGCATATGGGAGGAAGCCAATTGATGTTTATCTTCTCTCTCTCTCTCTCTCTCTCTCTCTCTCTCTCTCTCTCATCAATAAACATATATCCTCAGGTGAGGATTAAAAAAAAAAAACTCTGGTACCTTTACACAATGGAATACTACATGGCTGTAAAAAAGAAGGAAATCTTACATTTTGTGACAGCTTAGATTGAAATAAGACAAATACCATATGATCTCACTTATATGTGGAATCTAATGAACAAAATAAGCTGACAAACAAAATAGAACCAGAGACATGGATACATGGAACAGACTGACAGCTGTCAGAGGGGATGGGAGAAGGGGAGACTGGATGAAAGAAGGTGAAGGGATTAGCCAAAAAATTATATGCATAACGCATAGACACAAATGACAGTGTGGTGATGGCCAGAGGGAAGGGGAGGCAGGGCTGGGTGGAGGTGGGCAAAGGGGGGGAAAGGGGAATATCTGTAGTAGTGTCAACAATAAACATAAATTAAAAAAATAAAATAGGGACATCTGTAATACTTTCAACAATAAAAATAAATTTAAAAAATAAAAATAATAAAATTAGTTGCAATTACTGTCCAAAAAGAAAAAAGAAACACTATGTAACACTGCTTCCTCTTATTTCATTAACTTTCATAGCACTCCCGTGTGATATGTATTATAGTATTCTAAATCTTGCAAAATTGAGAATAAGAGAAAAAAACTGCCTAATTAATATCATGCACTAATTTAATAACTGTTCTTTTTCTGGAGTTAAGGCTAATAATGATAAGAGCTGAATTGTAAAGGAATCAAAAATAGTGTGCCCTTTTTTCTCTGAACTGTTATGTCCAGTAAGAGTAGTAAAAAAGCATCATCAATTTAGATTAAATCATTTCAAATAATGTGGCTTGTCTAGAAGAAAGTAAAGATTGATAAAAAGCAATAATAATAACAGAATGGCAAAAAGATAACAAAAAATACAAAACCCAAAGCAATGAAGAAGAACAAAAAGGGGCTATGGGCAAGCTATTTACCCTTGAGTTAAGAATAATTCATTTTAAAAGTGTAAGAAAAATGCTTATTAAAAGATAATGTAGCCCTGGCCAATGTGGCTCTGTTGGTTGGGCATCATCCTGTGCACTGAAAGGTTGCTGGTTTGACTTCTGGTCAGGGCACTTGCTTGGGTTTTGGGCTGGATCCTTGGTAGGGCCTGTGCAGGAAACAGCCAATCGATGTTACTCTCACATTGATGTTTCTGTCTCTCTCCCTCTCCCTCTCTCTAAAAATCAATTACAAAATAAAGATAATGTAATTAGCAAACTCTAATTGACAGTCAAGAGATCTGGGCTTCAGTCACATTCATGACAATTCAGAGCTGGGAAGATTCTTAAAAGATCTTTTAGCCCATTCATTTGCAGATGAAGGTAACTGAGGCCCTAAGTGACAGTGATTCATGGAAAGTCAAACAGATAATGAAAAAAACCCAGCGTTCCTCAGATCTGATTCCCTCTCCAATGTTCCATCTAACTAAGTCTGTCTTTTGATTAAGTTCTGTGGTCTCAGCAACTCCCTTGGCTGGCTTGTGATCCTTAAGTGACTTCTTTTGTAATATCTGACTAAAATATATAATCTAGTTGCTTCCAAGAAATGATACATAAAAAACTCTTCTGAAAGTGCTATATTTTGATTAGAAAAATCGATCCATCCTATAAATGCATTTGAAGGCATGCTTGGTACACTTCCTCCATTTAATCAAGGAGTTTTATCCAAATGCTCTCCTTTCTCAAATAGACTTATATCCACTCTGTCCTTATAGAGGGGAGAGGTACATACCTTGGCTTTTTCCTCAAGACATTTAACCAAAGCAGAATTCAGGTATTGTCTGAGGTGATTATTCTCTTCATGTAACCTAGCAAGTTCTTCTTCCTTCTGCACCAGAGTATCTTGGAGCTGCAAAAAGTAGACAATGGTGAAGGCTGCTCCACTATATTGACTTTGTAACCATGTAATAGTGCTACTGATCCTTAACCTGCTTAAGCCTGATTGTTATTTTGTTTGTTTTAAGAACTCTACCTCAGGGAGCCCTCCTCCTCAGAGGCCTAAATTCAGTCTACACCCACCTACCACCTGATTGTTCAGTTTTGTGCCCTGATTTTTTTTTTCATTGCCAAGTGTTTGAAGAGATTATATGACTTTTAAAATTGTAACCACAAGGGAAGGTATGTAGGAAAATGAACTGCGTGCAACTGTTTAAATATAGAAAAAGGTGTTTGGAAAAGTTTTGCTGGACTCCTACCTTGTACTTTACAAAAAAAAAGAAGAAAAAAAAGGTGGGTTGGCTTCCCTCAGCCTCAAATTGATTGGCTTATGTGTCCACTTGATTAAATTACTCTCTCTGGAACAGCTATAAGCAAATTATGGAATGTGAAACAATCTTTGTCAAAAACTTACAACCATTATTCCTTCTCCAAGTGATGAACTATGATTTTAAAATATTATCACATTCATTATATCATTTGATCTTTCTAACAGCTCACAGAGGAAGGTAGCCCAAATATTTCAATTTCACAGATAAGGAAATAAGGATTCAAGAGGGCATACAACTAATATATGTGCAGGGCTTGACTTCTGATCTTCCTAGTGGGTTTTGGTTGCTGTTGGTGGTTGTGGTGGTGTTTTTTGTTTGTTTTCTGGGGATTGTTCATTTGTTTTTTCTTTGGTATTATCACCTAAATTTTATCACTCTATAGACTTATAGTCACTTTGGTCCTAAACTGAAAGTTAACGTATGAATTTACAAGGGAAAGGAAGCAGTGTGACATTGAGGAACAACCTTAAGAATGGACTGCATGGAGCATGGCCGGTCCCCGTGTTCTGATCCCCTGTACATACCTGCTTGTTTCTGTAGAGCTGAGAGGAAAGCTGAGCCTCTTCCCATGAACAAGAGTTAGGAAAAGGGAAATTCGAGTCACTGGATGATTCTATGTGGAAACACCAAATAGGTAACTGAGAAAACACACTTGCAGTTTTGGGTCGATAAAGAATTTACAAAAATATTTCAGAATGTTTAAAGTTCAATTTCCATTCCAAAAATAGCCATTGCCTCCACACAGGAAAACAAAATATTTAAAGCTTTAGGAAGGGGCCAGGATGCCATAAAAGACAAATATTTATAAACTATATGCCAGAATAGCTACAGAGGTGCATTTTTAAGAGCTAACAAGTCACATCCCTCCCTACTATATGCATTCCTGCTGGCTAAATTTATAAAGACTGTCCCATCTGCATTATTAATTCATTCAACTATTTACTGATCCACCCCCCACTAGGCATAGCGTTGCAATTCCACTATGTTTTTATCTTATTTTCTAAGCTTTACTGCTTGAAAATGTAGGCTCTAGAATCAAATTCTATTTTTGATGCTACCATTTTCCCCAGATGAAAATCTCTGCCTGTCTGCCTATCAGTTAACTCTGATGGAGAATATTTTTGCAGAATTCTATGTGGTAGCAATTTCTACTTTAAAATAATTTGTACCTTACTTTTCTGAAGACATTGGTGAAATCTCAAAATGATAACTCATGTATTTCAAATACCATTCTCTGTATGTTTTACAGGCTTTTACAAATGGGTGTTTTGTTTTGTTGTCATATTTGACAATAAGCTGTACCTACCAAGAAAAAGATGGTCAGGCATGCTAAATTGGTTTACTTTTATCTTCTTTTCCTCACCTAGAACAGTTCTGACTCTTGCCTTTCTGTATTTAAACAGAAACATGACTGAAATATTTTTAATTAAAATAGAACAATGGATAAGGAGTCAAGAATAACATTTTATAAACTGTTTTGTTTCATAGTCTTGGACATTCTGTTGCTTGTGGTAGAAGATAAAAACTGAAAAACTTTCTTCCTGATATGTGTGTTTTTTGATAGTTTGGGGCTTTTTGTGTCTTTTCTCAAATTAAAAAAATATGTGGCAGAATCAATAGTGCAGGTATTTAATTCTAAAGTGTCTCAGAGTTCTTTCAGAAACTTGAATGTTAACACATACATTTATCTAATATTTATAAATACTGTTGACTAAGCTCTAGGTTAAAGTCAATATGCAATTTTCCATCAATGTTATACTTCCCTCCAAAATTGAAGTCTTCTTTGGGCAAAAAAGAATCATTTTTTTTCTACTTACAAGACACTGTTCATAGAATTTGCTCTATGAAATAAAATATTAAGTTAGTATTTCTCCTTGTTTTTCTCTCATACCTAGGGAAACTCCAAAAGAAATGTTCTAACTGGTGTCTTGATTCCAAAAGCATCCCACTAGTATTGCTTATAAAACTTTGACCCAGACCCAAACTGTCTCAGTGAATTGGAAATCTCCAAGTACTGAAAGGTATAGTGAGAAATACAGATTGTCCAGCGGGCAAGAGGAAGAATCTTGTTTTCACTATTTGGCATGTACAAAAGAATGGATTATTTAGCTTGTATAATGCAGGAATCTTTGGGCTTTCTTAAACTCTTCATACCATCCCTTCTACAGAGTTCCAGCCCATGATGCTTTGCAACTATGGGTGCTGGAGAAAGGGCTTCAGATCTACCAGGAAAGCGGAAGAGCAGAACTTACCCTGTGCCTGTGGTGCTTGTTGGGGCTCTCTGTTGTCCAGGAGACCAGCAGCCCAGAAAGAGACCCAAGTCTCCGTGGAAACGTCAACACTAGATTCTGACGTTGTAGTGGAATACGGGCAATTATAGCTCTGGCCTCCTACAAAGTGCTGGTCTTGGCAAGGCAGAACGGTGTTCTGTGAAAATCAGTATGAAGGGTAGAGGGGTTCCCAGCAGATGGGGTGATGGGGATTTGGAGAGAGGAAAGGGTGGGAGAAAGATGCCGAAATTACACGCAATGAATCAAAAACAGTAAAGGTGCTAAGTATAGAGCCCAGGTTAATTTTGAGTGGTCAAAATATAAATACTAGAAGGGAGTCAGCTCCTTGGCTTACCCAGTACTTTCCTAAGACCCTCTCAGCAAAGAACAGGCTAGTCTTGGATGCTCCAAATTGGTACATATCCAGGAGTATTCTCTATTGCCATGTCTTAGTCATCTAACAGGCTACCCATGATCTAAGTAAAAGGAATTTTACTTAATGATTCAAAGCCATAAGAACTACTTGACTCTTTCTAGCAAATATCTTAATTATATTTCCAATAGCCTTGAAAGACAAATCATACTAAGGCTGAAATAAATAGAACAACAAAATATAATCTAACCTCCTTATTTTAGTTTCGTACTTTCTGAATTCTACAGGTGCCCCATTCATCTCGTTTCCTTTCCTCTGGCTTCAAATGCTACTGGGTCCTGTGGTATCTGAGTGGTTTAAAACAGATACATAGATATATTCCAGAGATAATGAAATACATATTGCCCCTCACTCCTCACTCTAAGCTCAGGAGCATAAAATCACTCCAAGTAAATATAGAAGCAGAGCTGAACTAAATTAATCAGTAGAGACAGCAAGCTCTAGTCTCTCCATCACCAGGTCTCAGTGCCCTTGCAAAGTTATCTTGCCACTCCTAACTTCCTGGCAGGTATTCTCCACTGTGTTCTGAGCCAGTGAGCACCCTCCTCCCAGGACTCCTCAAACACAGTCTTTCCAGATGTCCAGGCAGGGGCAGGTATGCAGCAGCCTTCCTGGGTTAATTTGTACAACAACCCATTTCTAATTATTTGTCAATGTTTAATCAGGTAAAAGCCGTTCATTTCAGCGGAGTGCAGATTTGGACAGACTCTTTTGACCACTATAACTCCTTGTTGACTTGAGGACTTTCTTGGGCATAACATAAACAAAGGAAACAAATAAGAGGAAAAAAATCACATGTTCCTGGTAAATTAAGTTTTGAAAAAGCCCATATTGAAGCAAGTCCAGCTTGGGCAGTGCAGACTAAAGAAATTCAGCCAAAGTTTATCAAGTGCTATTTTCTTTTATTCTAAAAGCATGTTTGTAGGCTCTTTCCCTGAGGTTATTACTGGAATTAGAGCTGAGCTATTATGCAATTGACACCTGAGAAGAAAACAAACCCCAAATAGCCCTAGACTAGGTTAAGTCCAAGTGTTTGCTGATATGTGCATAAGCTACAGAAAGATGTGGAATGAAAAGTGAGTGCAGGTGTACGGGGAAAGTTGGGAGACAAAAATAACAGAGAAGGTAAAGGATGAGAGAGATGGGGAATGAGAAAGCGAGATGGGCAGCAAAGAACCCGTCTTAATTGACAGGTAGCAGAGAAATCTCCCTTCCAAGGTGGAAGAGATTCTAAATGCAAAGCTTACTAGCTCTCAGCACCCCCAGGCTTCACCAGCGAGCTAGCAAAAGCCAGCTCCTCACTTACCATCTTGCAGTGGAAGAAGGCGCTGCGGAAACTGAGTCCACTCTTAATTTTTCGGAGTTTTAAATGGGACTGAGGGAGGAGCTAGGAGAGGCGAGTTCTAATCTGCAGGAGCTGCGGGGGACGCTCGGGGCTCCCGGTGCGCGCCGCCTCTGATTTGGTGCGAGGCTGTCAAACTGGTGACGTGGCTCAGGAGTCATTCAGCCAAAGCCAAAAGCACTAGCACTCGGGGCGACCGCCTGCTGGGACCTGAAACCTTCGAAACCCGCGCCTGTTGCAGGCTCGCTGCCCGCGTCGGGGGTGGGGGAGACCGCGCACACCGCGCACCCGGGGCAGACTTGGCAAACTCCTGCTCCCGCCCGCGTGTGC